ACCCCTGGCCGCCCTTCCTGCGCCCAGTGCTCCCACACCCGTGCAGGCCAGCTCGCACACCTTGGCCGTATTTGGTGAAGACGCAGGAGGCAATGCCACTGACGTCCTCCCGGCGGATGCAGCCGTAGCGCACCTGGGGCTTGAGCAGGGGCAGCGAGACCACCTGGATGTCGCCCAGGTTGGTGAGGACTGCCAGGTGGTGCTCCCAGTAGTCCTCAGCTCGACAGCTGCCAAAGTGGGCCACGCCGACCCGCCGTACCCGTGAGCCCTCCAGGGCCGTCAGCTTCAGCTTCAGCTTGGCACTCACCTTGGGCAGTGTGAACACCTGCAGGCACAGGGTGGCCAGTCAGGCTCGCCACGGACCACCGTCCTCCCGCCCGATGCCGCCTCTGGGCCATCCAGTGTCCTGGCAAGCCCTGCTAGGTCTCAGTGCTCCCTCCGCTCTTGGAGGCACAGACACTGCGCGCGGACTGGGAGGACGCTGAGGTCACTGACCTCCAGGACCGGGTTTTGTTGCTTCCACAGACATAGGTCCTTCCCTCAGTGTCCCTGCCTCTAGCCCGAGGCCCACACAAGACCCCCTTCCCCTTCTTTCCTGTGCCTCTGCAGCCCCTCAGGCATCAACTTAAAACGGACTTTGATTCCCAGCCATCATCATTAGTGTTCAGGGCTGGGGATGGAACCCCAGGGGGACCCCACTGCCACCACGGGGCACCTTGAACTGCTCCTCCGACACGACAAGCAGCTGGTGGCTTCCCTGCATGTCTGGGCTCTTTGACAGGTCATGAGCCACCTCCAGGGGCTCGGGAAGGGGCACACTGTGTCCATCCAGTACGAGGATGCCCACCACAGGCGCTCGGTGCATCAGCTGGATCTCCTTGGCTACAGGAAGGAGGCAGGCACGGGGTTGTGAGTGGGCGGCGTGGCTGGAGACACCGCCCACCCCCACCACGGCAGCTCTGGCACCCTCTGCTCTCCCCGTCCAGCGCTTACCCTGCTCTGCCCACACGGGCTCATCCATTCTCCGCTCGGCGGGGGGCACACGCAAGGAGAAGGCGTAGACAGTGCCCCCGTTGGTGCCAGCCCACAGTGAGGGGCAGTGGCGGGAGCCTGCCGAGAAGCAAAGGTGTGGGTATATAATCCCTGGTTTGGGGAGGTCAGGTGGAGCTGGGCAGCCAGGGCTTCCGTCCCAGACTGTCCCTCCTGAGAAAGGCTGGAAGCACTCTGCCACCCACCTGGGTCCTGCACACAGATGACCTCAGAGGCATGACAGCTCAGCCCTTACTGTGACACAGCAGTGGACAGCCCCACCCGATATGCCCACTGGGCACCAGCAGGCCCCGGAATCCCCAATCTATACCCCTATTCTAGGAAGAAAGTATCACTCTCCCATTTTACAGAGGAGGGAAGCTAGGGACGGTTAAGTGCTGTCCAGGGTCATTCTTTTTGCCTTAGTGGTGGAGCCTGGATACAAAGTCAGGGCAAGCTGACCAGACAGGGGAAGGGAAGAGGCAGGCGGGGCTGCGGTCTGCCCCTGCTTACGAGGGGAACCCCTCTTAGGTCCCACCAGCCAGGTAGGGAGCAGCCTCCAGCATGTCCCCAGGCCAGGGGGTGCCCTCTTGACCCCTAGCTGGCCACTCACTGTCCCTCAGGTAGGTGTCAGCGAAGTAGAGAGTCCGGACGAAGCCCGTGAAGGAGTCCTCTGCCGAGCGGGCCTCAATCCTGCGCTGCACGGGTGCCAGCTCCATGTTCTGCAGGGCCGCCCGCTCTGCCTTGGCGCACGCCTCCTGCCCCTGCAGAAGGTTGGCTGGCCTGAGGGTCGGGCTGGCCGCCTCGCCCCGGGTGGCTCAGTTCCGCTCCTTCCAGGGGGAGGAGACTGGCCATAGTCAAGCCAACCGCCTGCCTGCGGCCACCAGGGGGCCCTTGTCCAAGTGGGAGGTGCCCCAGGGCAGCCTGCGAGCCTCCCAGCACATGGTGGGGACAAAGGAGTAGAAGAAGGAAAGCGCTTACGTTTCCTGGGGGCTTACCTCGAAAGTAAGCATTGTAACGACCGCCTTTTGCACTCAGAAGCCAAGGCACGGAGAGGCAGCCTCAGCTAGCCAAGGTCACACACAGTGAACCTATGTGGCCCAGACCTAGAGCCGGCGGCCAGCCCAGGCCTCACCCCAGGCCTCACCCCGGGCCTCACCTCTCCTGCAGGGCCAGCGGGCCGCCGCTTCCGGCTGGACACCCTGCTGCGGCGCATCCGGCGGAACGACTGGCGCAGGGACTTTTTCAGGGACTTTACGCGGGACAGGGGGCCCTCCAGAGCCAGCTGGTCACTGGGGTGCAGCGTGCACCTAGGGAAGGACGCCAGGCCATCAGTGCCCCCAGGGCCTGGGGTCCCCGCCAGCCCCGCTCCCAGCCCCTGGCGGCCCTGCTCACTTGACAAAGACCAGCCGTCGCTGCTGGTGGTCAAAGAGACCAAAGCCGTGGCTGGTGCCGAAGGCCACGAGCCGCCACTCAGAGTGCAGGGCCAAGGAGGTGACCACGGCTGGGGGCTGGCACTGCACCAACACGAAGGGCTGGAAGCCGGGCTCGAAGCGCACGGGCCCTGAGCGGGCCTCCAGGCGCTCGTGCCCCTTCCAGCGGTAGCCCTCCTGGTCCTGCAGCAGGTCGGCCTCCACGGCCTCCACCGCCTGCTCAGCTGCCTCGTCGTTTAGCTCTAGCACCAGCACCTGGGCAGGCGGAAGGTGGCTCAGCAAGCCCCAGCAAGGGACAGCAGGACCACACGGTCCTGACAGTGGAGACAGTGAGGGACCGGGGGCCCGTGCCCAAGTCCAGGCCCCAGAGGCCTCTGTCCCTAATTCTTATTTCTGGAAGAGAAACAACCCTCCCAGGACCCTCCCTCCAATGGCATCAAGCAACCTCCACCCAATGGGAAGAGCACAGAGCAATAGGATGTGCCACGGATGACACTGTCAGGTGATATTGTCAGCAGGCACTCAGAAGACTGGCTCCTGTCCCTGCTGCCCCAAGTCACCCGATCCCTCCTCCCTGTTCCCTCTCCGCTACCCAGCGTGCTACCTGCCCTGCGGTGCCTGCCACAGCCAGGTAGCCGCTGTATTTGCAGAGGAAGATCTTCTGGATGCCCAGCCGGGGGTCGTCACTGTAGGGGTCGAAGGAGCCCACCTAACAAGGAAGAGGGGCCCTGTGAGCGGCCAGGGGGCTGGGCCCAGCCAGTCCCTGGCCTTCTGGCTTCCCAGGCTCCTGGCCTCACCTTGCGGAGAGGGGGCCACTCCTCCTCGCCCTGGGCGTTGAGGTTCTCGTTGGGGTCCGTGTCGGTGAGGAACACGCGCACCGTGCTGAGTTTGTAGAGCAGCCGCAAGCAGACGCCCGAGGCGTCCCAGAACCGCACCGTGCCGTCCTCGTGCCTGTGAGCAGAGCCCGCCTGCCCGCCATGAGAGGGATGCCGGCCAGGGCTGGCACGCACATCTCAGGACTCTGCTCCCACCC